CCATGGTTTATTATTTCATAGAAACATCGAAGACTGTGGAGAAATGAACTTCTCTTAAAGTGTACGACATTAGTCGTAAATTTTGACAAAACTGTATCAAACAAAGTAGATGTACCTATCGGTGTCCCTTTGCAAAATATAAATAGTCATATATCGTCATATATATTTATTGTAATTTTAATTGTCGTTTAAAATGATCGAAGCGTGAACACCGAATCCACTTCGATCATGTTGGATATTTAATTACATTTATATTACGTCATTGACAATAAATCAAAATTATTTGAACAAAAGATACTTGGAACGTGTAGCATAAAAAAAACAAAAACAAAAAAAAAAAAAGGAAAGACAATAACGTTCGAGTATACATTTGAGCATTTTCATTTATATAACAATAATGAAAATAACGAACGGAAATCTTTTTATAAGAATAAAATTGATATACTGAAACAATTCTGATTGATCCAAGTGCACTCTTTGATAATAAATGTTAAACATTCGATGCGATGGTTTATTTTTTTTTTTTTCTTTTAGAAAAATAATTCGTTGAAATAGCACGGGGGCAAATTAAATGGTTATTGCGTATGTACGTTTGTTTAATTCATCTTCCAGGTTTAATCTTCAATGCATTTAAACTGAAAGTCGTGATGTAGGACAGAAATAGGCACGAAAGTTTACCACCTAGATGAGAATCTTACTAGCATTCATCAGGGATGTGTAGATGATGCAACACACATGCGCAAGAAAATAATTACTTTTATTCGGTCGAGAAGACGAATGAAAAGGAAACGGAAACAACTACATAAAGAACGGAGAGAGAGAGAGAGAGAGAGAATGTTGACTAATTACTTTTAGATTGTTAATTAAAGCATTGATTAACTTGAAATCTTTTACAGATGCATACGATAATTACAGTTAAAATATATTTCTCGATATTTCGTGGCTGAGAAAATTTGTTTTGATATATATTAGAATTAAATCTGTACAAATATATGAAGTTTTTTACAAAGTTTATAATTGCATAATAATAATAATAATAATCTTCATTTTTCATAATTAAAAATTCATTTAAGTACGTTCATATTTAAAATAATAAATGTAGTAAAGATTATAATGCGTATGAAAATGAAAATGAAAATCCAACGATTGTTATCATACCAAGAATTCGTTGAACAAAAAATTGCATTTATGTTCCACTTGGTAGAACTTTAAAATCAAAAATAAAGACGTATACCAAACTAAACCATTGATATACCTAAACGATTCTGCCTGCGTATCACCAATATTTGTAAAAGCATATATGCAAAAGGAAAATAGATAGAAAGAGAGAAAAGAGAAGCGTGTACATACATACGTACATACATACATACATGAAAAGAGTAGCACGGTTAAATGAAACATTTCAGGTAAACGAACTCCGCAACACGCGTTATATAGGAAGCTTAACGAAGGATTACAGGAGGATTAGTTTAGATTAAAGTCCCTTTTAATGGATGCTCGTAGTTTCTATGCTAACTGTTGTCCTATATACATATCTCAGTTGTTGGTACTCTCAGGAGAAGCAGGTTTTGTTCTTCCGTCTATTCTCCATCTGCTTCACTTCCTTCTTCTCTCTTCTTCTTCTGTTTCGATATATATGATACCGTCAAAGCCGAAAATCAGTCATTGCTAGTAATTCCTCGTCATTACTATAAATGCAAAGAACCTTCAGACGAAGTCGGAAATAAGACATTTTGGAGAGTTTTTTCTAGGCATCGAATATAATACTTTGATATTCTATAGAATATCAAATTATTATTTAAACAACGTTGAAAAGAATACATTTTCAGACACAGACACACACAGCCATACGATCACACAATATCAGAGATTGCAATGCTGTAAATTGTACAACTTTGCTATTTCTTTGAAAAGTTTTGGTAAATATTTTTTATACTAAAAGTGTGTGAATAGATTTTAATGAAACTTATATTAAATTAAAGTACACTCTTTTGTCTACGCGTAGAATATCATATCGAGTTATAAATTTAGCATGTAGAGTTTAGAAAATGTCAGAGAATGTAATGCTGTAAATTGTGCATCTTTGCAATTTCCTTGAAAAGTTTTAGCAAATCTTTATCTTATTACCATTTCTTATATCAATTTTTATTGTTGATTAAATAAAATTGATTTATTTTAAAGGTCTTTTTTCCCAATAGAAAGATCGACGTTAAGTCACTCGTCGTTAACAAATTTAAATTCTCTCTGTGTAATAAAACAAAACGACGTACTGCATATATATATATATATATATATTTGAATGATCGAATTATAAAAGGGCTCTCGTTTTATGCCCACTCAGCGACGAGCTAAACCATTCCAACAAAAATCCATTCCACTAGTAAAAGCAATGGAAGCAAACGACGATGTCGGAAATACAATCGAAACGGATTGCGAATCTCGCGTTTCGCGTCGGAGCATGAAATTACTTTTGATGATTGTGACATTGTACGCCGAACTGTTCCCGTGACTCGATTAAAATACGATAAGCGAACTTTGAACTATAGAGTCAAAAGAAGAAAATGAAAGTCTAAAGGAATAAGAAGAAATAAAGAAAAAGATAACGATATTACTTTGTTTCTTTTATAATAAAATTTATTTAATTCCAACGTGAGAAAAAAGTGTCGAATCGTTTACTATAACAAAATATTCCTTAAAAAAATAACAAACAAACAAACAACACGAATAAACGTGATTGAAATAAATTACACGAATATTAAAAACTTACGTAAAACAGAAAAAAAAAAACAACTTTATCCTTGTTTTCCTTTCTTTTTTCTTAAACGCGTAAGATTAGATACTTTAATACAGATTTTGTAATGACAAACAACAACAACAACAACAATGACAACAAATACAGATTGCATTTTACGAAGGGTCGTCCGGATATTCGCCTGATTAAATTCTCCATTGTTCCGTAACGAACGGAGTTATATATTCTGTAATTTCTCTGGTCCGATCGATCGAACCATCGGAAGAGAAGGATGCTGGAATATAAGATGGAAACGTACCATGTTTCAAGATATTACGAAGACTGTCGTTCCCAAATGACTTAAGTTCCTCCTCCTTTCCCAATACTCATTGATAGAGAAACATTTCTCATTCCGTTTACCCTACGTTTGATATTACAAGATGCTCTTTTACTATATTTGATACAAATATAACCCGATAGACGTCACTACGACATAAACCTTTCGAGAAATGACTCTAACTACTGATCGCCTCGTAACCACTCACCCCCTCCCATCCCCCGCCCCCCCGCCGCCCTTTCCTACCGATCTTGTAACGTTAATTACGTTGCTTTGGTCTCGATGGGACGCTGCTTTCATCTTGTCTATGTTACTTCTTGAGAAATACATGAAAGGAAATAGAGAGTGTATATATATATATATGCGTGTACTTAGACGATATAGATCGTATGAACTGTTGCGTTATTAATCGAATATTGATTCGTTGAAAATTTTGCGATAATGAAAAGAGAGAGAGAGAGAAAATAAGAAAGAGATAAAACAATATTTTTATTAGAAATTAATCTACATCAAGTATATGATATTTTTTCTGTTCAAACAATAAATTGTATGACAATATACTTGAGAAATAAATAATGTAAAATAGTGAAAAAGAATATAAATATGGATTAGATCCAGAAATAGAAATAATTGATTTTAAGATTTATTTTATATATATATATACACTCTATTAAAATTATTTATATTTTTTTTATTTTTACTTAAATATAATTAATTAAAAAATTAATATTTAATAAATTTAAGTTTTACATAAATTTAAATGTCAATGACAGATGATGATTAATTTGTATAAATAAAATTCTTTATCGAATTATTTGAAATGAAAGAATTCTTCGAGGAATAAATTTGATGGTCGTTAAATTGAAATTATTTTTTAATAAGTTTTCGGAGAATTGTTTTACACGCTGTGGTTTTACAATTAGTCCCATCGTTATAAACACGTTCATGATCGATGAACTTTCGCGGTATCCCACCGAGAAGGGTTCTCCAAGTTCCGTTCCTTTTACTCGCTAAGTCAGCCAACTCTCTAGAGTTATCACGGACGTGCCAAGTTTCTCGGTTTAGTATGACGACATTGTGAACGGATCGAAGCTCCAAACTAATGAATATCGAGGGAGAAGACGAATGTACTACGTGTTATTATTCCGATGACACGACTAAACGAACCGTAGATGAAACTATCGTTATTAATAAGTCACGAAGAAAATTAATAAAGTATTAGAATTATTATTGTACATATATATATATATATATATAAATACAAATAATATATATAATACATCGAAATATATTTATTCATAATTAAATTTAATGTTAAATATATAAATAATAATTAAATAAATTTAAATTTAAAAAAAGAGAGAGAGATTATTAATTAACAAAAATTAATATTATCCAACGTGTTCTACTTTTTCTCCTCGAGAGTTTATCAATTTATATTTTCATTAAAAATGATCGCTGCTACATATTGTTACTAGTAAAAACAACAATTTTATTATCCAGGTTAAAAAATCCAGGACGAGTTTGTAAATACATTTTACAGTTTTTAATTTGTACCATTTTTGTTTGCATCAATTACATATATAAAAATATATATGCTAACATATACTTTTGACCCTTTCCTCTTTACTTATCGTAAGTTAAACTTTGGAATATATATATAAAAAAAAAAAAAAAATGCTTATGCAAAACAAAAATAAGAAGATTGTTTTATTCAACGAAATAAAAATGTATCTGAAATAATTTGACCTGTTAAATATTTTGAATCCAATTGTAATAAATAAGTTGACTTATTATTAAAAGAAAAAAAAAAGAAAAAACATATTATAATAAGAATTATAGTTAATTTAAAGAAATATCTAAGATTGTAATAATAATAATGGACCAACCGATAAATAAGAAATACATTCGCGGTAATACTCAAATAAATACCTGAAACTGTATTAAGTTCTCCTCACGTCTTTGCTTGCTCGTACCTTCTCAATTATGGTTGGCAAAGTAGCTGCTTATTACGCGGTCTGGTGCGTCCGCACGGTTCTCTCCTGATTACTTTTATGGTCGACGAAGCGCTCCGAAGGTGTCCTACTAAAGTACACCCTTCTAATTATTCTCTTAGATACCCCTTACCATCTAAAATATATATCATTCGACCCTTTTCTAAAGGGCCGTTAAACAACAACTTTTCAAATATTCCATCAATAAAGTTTTCACACACATATATAATTATTATATATCATATATAAATATAGTCTTCCTATATTTATAGGAGGATTGAAAAGTTTTGAGCCTATCATAAAGAGAGAGATGCAAATTTTCATCAAGATTTTTATTGATACTTAACAAACGGAAATGATACTTAGGTATATACATATATAATATAAATGTACTGGTGTCTAATACCTATAGACGAGCTGAAAAGTTTCGAATTCAGTATGTGGAAGGCTGTAATAAAACGACCTGCTATTTCGTACGAAATAACAGGTAATTCTGTTACGTGCAACGCCCAATTTATGTGTCGAATCGAGAGAAGAAGAAAAAAAAAAAGGGGGGCCTCGTAGTGTAAAAGGTTTATTCTATAGATACTAAAAAGTAAGTCGAAAGTTTTTTTTAGCGTCAAAAAAAAAAAAAAGAATAAAAACCAAAAAGAAAAAGGTATAATACGTAGAAGTAAGTAAATATGGATGTTCTTTGTGTACACGTGTTCTACTATAGGCTATCAAAATATCGAGCAAAGTAGTAGAAGTAAATTACTTTCCTGTCCAATCGAGTACTATGCCATTTCTTTTTTTCTTTTTTTCCCCATCAAGCGAACTTCACTATGCGAAAGTTAAAGAGTGCTTTGAACGTCCTAGATGTGTATCATCGATACGACCTAACGTATCTTTTTGTCGTTTGGCCTATAACCTAGCATCTCTTTTTCTATCTTTTTTTTTTTCCTTTAGGTATCCCTATTCTATCCTTGATGTACACGTTTGTCGATGATAGGTAAACTGGTCCCGCGTTGAATCGATGTGGTTCATCGATCCTTTAACGATTCCCTTCCCTTTCCTTCAATGTATACACGTGTGTCTATAATTCTAGTCGCTTCGCAAGACAAGATGAATAAAGAGGATCGATTCGTGTCAGTAATTAATGCATTCAATACCGTTGGCTTCTATCAATGATGATTTATATTCGTATTTTGCAAATTATATATTTTAAACGTTTATAACATTGTAGTTATTAATATTTATAAACAACAACAAGAAGAAAAAATATATACGTTAATATCGTTTTATATCGGATCGGGTAAACACGTTATATTTTCGCGAATTAATTAAACAGGACATATTGCAACTCGGAGAAATTCAAAATCACGAAAATCAAACTCATACCAGGGCGATGACCTCCATTCAGAGTAAAAGAGAGAGAGAGAGAGAGAGAGAGAGAGAGAGAGAGAGAGGAATAATACGTATCTCGCATTTAATGTGCGAGCGAGTTGGAAAGGTAAATAGAAATAAAGTAGAATTCAATCCTGTGGGTAGAACGAGGTAGGTACTTCAGCAAATGCATCTCGTATACATATACCAACATCAATGCTAATCTCTGTAATCTGTGTCAATATTAAAAAATCACGAGGATGAACTTGGCGATTAGTTAATTTCAAACATACACGAGAGAAAAAGAAAAACATTAATGAACACGTGAATATGGAATATATTTTTTATAAATAGAAAGAATATTATTATTTTTTTTTTTCTTTTTCTTTTTAAACTAGAACACGCATGTTTTTGAATAGGTTATATGAATAAAAATATTTTATGTTAGTAAAGGTAAATATACGTAATATAACAATTTATAATTTTGTATATATATATATATAAAAAGGGAAAAAGGAAAATGAATAGATTAAATTTCAACGTAGGAAAATCTGGACAGGCGAGAAATAATATTCTCGAATTTATCGACGAAACGAATGTTTACTCGTGGAATAACGAGAATGAACTTTCCCTCTGTCGTAAACACGAAGATCGAAAAGTAGAGGCAGGCGAAGGGAGTAAAGTACCTACAATGTGTACATGCATGCAGCGAAAACTTTGTAGGCAAAAGTAATTTTAGTTTCACGAGCAAACGTAATTGTGTATCAATTATAGAAACTTACTTTATTTTTATCTATATATATATATATATATATATATCCTGAAATGCAGAAATGTTTGTTCAAATTAAAAATGTCAAATGAGAATATTATAGAAAGGAAAGTTGATACGTACATAATATATTATTTTTTTCTTTCTTTCTTTCTTTCTTTTTAACGAGTTTTAGCCAATTAAAATTAAGTCGAGACATTTCTTGAGTATACTTTTGGCCACGATTTTTTTAAGATAAATTAACGGTACTTTTCTTTTCTTTTCTTTTCTTCATTATATTTCCCTCATTGAAATTCCTTTTTTATCTTTCTTTTCTTGTTCAACCACCGTTCTTCTTTCTATTCGTTTCATGATAAAACAATTTTATATTTATCGCACGCATATAATTATAAGTATAATATTACTATATATGATAAAACTAACAAAAAAAAAAAAACACACAAAATAATATAATAAATAAATAATGAATTAATGTGGCCCAATATATATATATAACGCGTAAAATATTTTCAACATAACGATTTTTTTTCAGCTTATCCAACACGTTTGTTTCAGGATTCGCGCGAACTATTTCTAAAGTTAACTTCATCTTTTCTCGTTCGTTACTTTCAAACTCATTTCGTTGATGGAGTAAACGCTATAATTATTCATGATAAATTTATTTCGGAAATGAGGGTGAGTCTTAACGTGAATTTTAACCAAACGAGCATACTCGTAGGAGTCCTTGATGAATTCGTTAACAACGTTTTTAATTATACGGTAATTACGTAATGCAGGTGTATTTAAAAGAAAAAAAAAAAAAAAAAAAACAAAAAAAAGAAGACAAAATTTCTCCAACGTGAGATTTAATGGCCCAAATTGATTTGACGAATTTAATGAATTAAACGTTCACAATGTTACAAATTATACCCCTTATTTATTTTTTCTCTTTTTCTCTTTTTCTCTTTTCCTTTTTCTTTTTCTTACCTTTCTTTTTTATATTATCCTTGATAAAAGTCATTTCGACACGCAATATATCTCGGTTTAACGTTGCTTTTACTTGCTGAAGGAAAGAAAAAGAAAAAGGAAGGATGGTTTATCTCTTTCCACGAAATGAGTGTGTTTATTACGGCTATCCGTGATTCTAACTCAAGAAAGGGTCCTTCCGTGGCAAGATTTCCTTCCCTGGGACGCAAACGTTCTTGTAAGATTTTCCTTCCCTTCCGAGTGGTTTGCATAAAACCAGCAAAACTTAGGGGGAAAAATTCCCGTTTGAAGGACGACCTAATGTCTCCGTGAATAGGGATAATACGATAGAACTATTTTACGATCTATCAAAACGATAGTAAAAATTGAAACTTAAACTTCGATCCTGTAATAAAAAAAAAAAAGGATTCTGATTTACATTAGTAAGTAACGTAAAGAAAAATGACGCATTGGTGGAAAATAATTAACAAAAGAAAAAACAAATAAAAGAGAGAATATGTGTGTGTGAAATGAATGAGATGAATCTATATATGCAATTTTATTGGTGCATTTATACGAATACAAAATAATTGGCAAATAATTTCGAAACATGTGACTTCATAAATTACAATCAAATTTTTATTTTGTCGATAATAATAATTTTATATTTAATAGAATTTTCCCACACTCTTTTTTTTTTTTTTTTTTTATAGCGAATAATTAAAAACACAAATTTTATCCAAGGTCTATCAATACTTGCATTAAATGTAAAAGGTAATAACTTCGAACGCTTGTGTGTGTTGTAAAACATAATTAATTTTTATTTGTATATTATTGATTAAAAAAAAACAAAAAATAGAAGAAAAAACAAACAATAAAGATTTATCGGTGATTCATTAAAGTTAAAAATTTCGAGGTTATTATTGTCAATTATTCCGAATCATATCGTATATTTATTACATTTATAAAAATTGGCCGATCTATCTTTTGTCAAATGTTCATGATTCGACCTTTATTTATTCGTTCACTTGGAGATAAAAAGAAACGAGCCCCGGGCACGATAAGAATTAGACCGAGAAACTCAGTTAAACCATCTACCAAATTCTCCAAGTTCGCTTTGTCTGTTAAAGAAGAAGAAGAAGAAGAAGAAGAGAAATAAGAAAAAGAATAAGGAAAGGTATAGTATAAACTTCGGTTCACTTTTCCTAAATTCTCGCTTTCTTCGTAATTCTAGTAAAGGATCGTATCGCATCGTTGAGACTTCGTTAATTACTTTCATCAAGAGCGTTCACGTTGTCGTGTAAATTTGTAAAAAGTTTTTCAAGTTAACATTTTTCTTAACTATAACTTACTTCGTGACAGTGATTTTTAAACTATCATTAAATTACTGATTGAACAACAAAATATTATTGATAACAAAATTTTAATTCAATTGTAATTATTGTTAACACTAAGAATACAATGATTTTCCCATTTTTTTCTTTCTCATTTCTTTTTTATCATCCGTTTTTTTTATTTATTTAAACGTGTCTTATTTTAGTGTCAACTAGTATTATCTTGAGCTTTTAAACACTTTCGACGAATCGTTTGTAAAGGTATTGTAATTTTATCGACAATTTATTGAGATCAGCATATCAAAGATGTCCGATGCATGCACTTCGAGGAAAGCTCGTTAGTTTCTAGACGAGATTGTGGGCCTCTGTCAGAGACTAGAAGCACAACGACATCAATGGATGATTGAAAAACGACGTTTAGTATTCATACCATCGCAAAATAGCTGTTCTCCGTTAGAGATGAGTGAGGGAGTATTCTCTTATATTTTCATTTTTCTCGCTTTTCCTTTCAATCGATTTAAAAACGTATACCTGCCGAATTGTTCGAACTCTCAAGCTCGAATTTCCTAGTCAAA